TAACTCTGACACAAGGGGTATATACTAGCATTTGTGTAAAAAATAAGAAAAGGAAAAAAATATATATATGTACATATTTACATCTACACACAAAATGCAGTTGTGTGTCTGGGCACAGAGTTTACTGGCAACACTAGTTCCTTCCAGGGAAAGGAACCAGGTGGCTGGGGGCAGGAGTGGAAAGGAAAATGTTTACCATTGTACTGTTTTGTACCTTTTGAATTTTGAACCACAGGCACATATTATCTGTTCAACAAACAAATAAAATTAACACTTTAAAAAGTTAAAATTGCTAAAAATGATCAGCCTGATTTCCCACGGTGCACTGGAAAATGAAATCTAGAAGGTCGAGGTTGGCAGGCTCTTGAAGACCCACCCCCATTTTGCCCGTAGGGAAACTAGGCCCAGAGTCACACAGGAGTGAATGGCAGAGCTGCGGTTGGAGGGAGAGGGAATCCCAACTTGTAGCCCTGACTCCTGAGCCAGCTGCCTCCCAGTCCCAGTCACAAGGCAGCCAGGTTTGCTACTTATGAAAATGTGACTGAAGCCTCATCAACTCTCAAGGAGTCCTTGGCTGGATCTGCAGGCATTAGGATGTGAAGACACGCCCAGCAGACAAGAGTCAATTATGTCCTTGGTATCATGTCAGAAATGAAGCCCACATGGTGGTTGCACAGCAGTGTGAATGAACCAAATGCCACTGAATTATTCACTTTAAAATGATTAATTTTACATATGTGAATTTCATCTCAGTAAAAAGAAATGAATCCCTCAATGCAGTGACCTTTGCAAACAACCAAAATCAATCATCCAAACCAAGGCACTTTGGAGTGAAAGGGAGTGCCATTAATAATCACACCCAAACATCCAATGCGAACAAGACTTCCTGGGCTCTGGGCTCCCTACAAAAATCCCACCACCTGGAAGCTGGCAAAGAGACATTTTGGGCTAAGGACCTTCAAAGGACTTGTTATTGTTGTTGTTAAGGACCATCGAGTCAGACCCGACTCATAGTGACCTCTCCTTGGGTTTCCAAGGCAGTATCACTATGGAAGTAGATTGCCCAACCTTCCTTCCGAGGAGTGGCTGGTGGATTTGAACCACCAGCCTTCTGGTTAGCAGTCAAGTGCCTTAGGCATTATGCTACCAGAGCTTCCTTCAAAGGACTAGGGACCAAAAAATACAACAATACAGGCTCTGGGCAGACCTGGGTTCAAACCCTGTCTGTGTTCAAACCACTTCTGAGTTTTCTCATTTGTGAAACAGAAATCATGACTCTAATCTCAAAGGGATGCTGTGAGAATTCAATGTCTTGCACCCAGCCAGGCATGGAGATGGTATTCGCAAGCTAGAGTTTCTCTTCTCCTGGTGAAGAGAAATAATGAAACGACACAGGCTTAATCCTGAAACTCTTGGGGGCGAACAGAGAAACCAGATTCACAAATGCCCCTGTGGGAGGAAGAGCCTGGGGCACAGTGCACAGGGGAGCATGGATTTCTAAGTCTGGGAGTCATTTTGTGAAACACCTCTATGCAGTGACTAATTTTGGGACTCACTAAAAAACCCTTTGAGTTAAAACCAAAAGTTCAATGGGGGCTTAAGCTGCATTGTGCCTTTTCCTTCTCTTCCCACTCTGGCCTGTGTAGTGAAGGGTGCAGGGAATTTGCAGGGTGTGGGGGCGCTATCTTTGAGCAGAATTTAACACTTTTTTTTTTTTCTTTCCTGGCATGCTATAGGGGTTGGGACTATCTGAATGAAGGAAGTGGGGGCAAGAATGAGGAAAACCAAGACGACTTCTCTCCTCCTCCAAGTCCTGCTGCTGTATCTCCATCTCTAGAAGACAACAGTGAACACCCCACCTCCTCCCATTCCTCAGTTAGAGCCTAAGGGCCAGTAGGGACAATGGGGAAAGTAGGCAGTTAGTTCATACTAACATCAGCTCACCTTCAGCCAGACTCATCTCTGATGATTGTTGGCTATGTGAGCTGGGACACATCACTTGACCTCTCTGAGCCTCAGTTTCTTTAACTAGAGGATCAGTAGTTTCTGCTAACCAGAAGGCTGGTGATTCAAACCCACCAGCCACTCCTCAGAAGGAAGATGGGGCAATCTACTTCCATAGTGATACTGCCTCAGAAACCCAAGGAGGGGTCACTATGAGTCAGGTCTGACTCGATGGCACATAACAACAACAACAACTATACATTAAAGAGTCCTTGTGAGTCCAGGGAAGGGCTTTGCAAATGGTAGGGGCTTGTGCAGATATGTGCCGGGTCTTTCTCTTCTCAGTAGTCTGGTGCTCTTCCAAAGACTTCTAAGGGGGTCTGAGGTTCTTGTTGCATAGCTGAGCACAATGGGGTGTGTATCCTTGGGGAGCATGGGCCTACCTGTAGCTGATTCTTCCACTTCTTAATGAAGGCCTCTGTTCGGATGGCACCTCACCAGTGAGGCGTGCTCTAAATATCTTGCATGTGGGAGATCTGGGTTTGATTCCTGGCCAATGGACCTCATATGCAGCAACCAGCCATCTGTCAGTGGAGGTTTGGGTATCGTTAGGATGCTGAAGAGATTTCACCAGAGCTTCAAGACTAAGCCAGACTAGGAGAAAAGTCTAGGTATCTGCTGCTGAAAATCAGCCAATGACAACAATGGATTGCTACAGGCTGACCCACAACCCATCATGGGAATGGCACAGGACTGGACGGTATTTTGTTCGGTTGTGCATGGTGTTGTCATGAATCAGGGGCTTGCGCGATGGACAGGTAACAACGATAGTTTCTTACACAAATTCTTCGATTTATCTGACATTTATTGTGGTGTATAGCATGACTGGAGGAAGAATCATTAACAACCTTAGATACACTGATGATACAACTTTGCTTGCTGAAAGTGAGGATGTCTTGAGGCACTTACTGATGACAACTGAGGAACACAGTCTGCAATATGGATTACATCTCAATATATAGAAGACAAAAATCCTCACAACCAGACCAATAAGCAGCATCACGATAAATGGAGAAAAGATTGAAGTTGTCAAAGAATTCACGTTGCTTGCTTCTACAATTGAGGCCAATGGAAGCAGCAGTCAGGACATTAGATGATGTGTAGCACTGGGTAGGTCAGCTGTGAAGGAACTCTTTCAAGTGCTGAGGACCAAGGATGTTTCCTTGAGGACTAAGGTGCGCCTGACACAGGCCATGATATTTCCAATCGCCTCGTATGCATGTGAGAACTGGACAATGAATAAGGAAGAGTGAAGAAGAGTTGATGCTTTTGAGTTGTGGTGCTGGCGGAGAATGCTGAAGGTACTTTGGACTGCCAAAAGAACTAACAGATCTGTCCTGGAGGAAGTGCAGCCAAGATGCTCCTTGGAAGCGAGAATGGCCAGACTTCGTCTCACCTACTTTGGTCATGTTGTCAGAGGAGACCATTCCCTGGAGAAGGATGTCATGTTTGGTAAGGTGGAGGGTTGATGAAAGAGGGGGAGGCCTTTGACAAGATGGATTGACCCGGTGGCTGCGACAGTGGGCTCAAGTACAGCAAGGATCATGGAGCTGGTGCGGGATAGGGCAGTGTTTCGTTCTGCTGTGTGTAGGTTCGCTATGAGTTGGAAGTGACTCGACAACACCTAACTACAACATAACATAGCATGAGGTAAGGCTGTAAATAGCACCCCAACTAAATAGCTAAACAATTTGCAGGACGATTCACTTCTTCCTTGTTGATTTGTGACAACTCTGTTTTTCATTGATAGGGAGCTGGAACTGTGTTCATAACTCGAAGCCAGCTGCTGCCCCATCTGCCTCTTCTTAGCTCACCACTCCCAGAGCTTTGTTGCTCACGAGGCCGTACTGCCCAGTGATTAGGTCTGCAGGCCCTGGAATTACACAAGCTGCTGCCCACCTTCCAGGTCAACCACTTACCGGCTAGGAGGCTTTGGATAAGGGAATTCGCTTTTGTCAGCTTAATTTCTAACTCTTATTTGCCCCCCTGTGAAATGGGCACAACAGTAGCATAATACCTCCTTCATAGGACACCTGTGGGACTGAGCAATGCAATGCAGGGTGCCTGGCACACAGTAGGTGCTTGTTGGTGTCACTGTTGTTGGTCATCGTCAATTGAAGCATGCCCACTCACTGGGCAGGTGGAAGCCCGCTGCCCAGTGCTGTGACCAAGCTGGACAGCTGGTAGGTGGTGTCAGTCTCTAGTCCCTGCCATCCTGGGGAAGACAGCACAGACCTATGTGTAAGAGAGGCAGCAAGTGCAGAAACAGGAACTGTTTGAGCTAGAAGAGGCCTCACCTTGAGGGGGTTTTCCTGGTAAGGGAAGCCAAGAACTCAACTGCTTCAACCTTTGGATCCCCATGGAGGCTGGTCTCCTTGGAGGGAGAGTTTAGCATTCATTAATGGAGTCTTTTACTTCTAAAAACTCTGCACATTGATTCTGGCTGGTCCTGGGTCCCCAAAAAGCCAGAAGCTCCAGAGAGAGAGGGAAACTCTGGTGCTTTAAGGGGAGGGAGGGAGCGGTGCCTCTAGAGACTTTATTCTTGGCTCCGACTTCAGTGCTTGTATTCAGTTGGCACACAATCAGTGCTTGTTGATTACCCAATTTCAGTATGCTACTGCTGTGATGGGGACAATGCTAGGTGATCGGGGTGTCCAAGGAGCACGTGGGAGGGGTCCGTGGGTTGGCTGATTGCAGCCCCTCATCTTAAGTGTCCAGGAGATGCTAAGTCTAACTTGCTGTGTAACCTTGGGCCTCAGTTTCCCCATCTGTGAAATGGGGGAGGAGGTGGGCTGAGTGGCTTATTCACCATCCAAAGTGTCCGGAGGAATCGAAGGGTCCAGGAGCTATGAGGGCGCTGCCCCGGCGCCCCCCCACAAGCCTGCGTGGCGGCAGCGCGCGCGAGCACAGGGGGTGGCGCGGCCTCGCGGCAAGGAGGTGCGGGAGCGCGCGCGCGGGCCCGCGCAGCAGCAGCAGCAGCAGCAGCGGAACCGAGCGGACTAGCGTGCGGCCGCCGCGCGGCCAACTCGTGTGGGACCCGCCACTCCGGCCGGCCCTCACGTCCGAGCGCCGGTCCTTCCCCGGGCCGCCGAGCCCGCTCGCGCGCCGGTAAGTGGCCTGGGCCCGGGCCAGGCTGGGTCGGAGTCGGGGTCTGGGAAGGGGCGGAGGCAGGGCCGAGGGGCCGTCACCCCACTCCTGGGCCGAGGGGAGTGCGCGTGCACACATGCGCGCCCGGGGTTCCGCGGGACAGAGCAGGAGGGTGTGCACGCATGAGGTTGGGGGGTGCGTGTGTGAACGTGTGAGTCTGAGTGTGTCCGCGTTGGTACGCGTCCGGGCGTATGTGGGCGGCGTGTGTCCATCTTCTGTCTCTCAGTGTGTGTGTTCACAGGAGTGTGTGCGTGCTTGCGCTGTGTGCACACAGTTTCTGGGTGATTTTTGGTGTGAATGAGTGCTGGAAAATGACCATTCCTCTCATTTACACACTTTCGGAGTGTTTGCTAGGTGCCCAGGACGGCGCCAACCCCTTCGCTGTGATCTCATTTTTGTGACGGAGTAGGTGGGGATCTCAGGGAGTATGTGTGTATATGCACGTGTATGGCCGTGGTATTCCCAAGTGACTTGTGTGTACATTTATGGGCTTGGGAGGACAAAAGTGTCCATAAGTGGATGTGAGTGTGTAATCTGTGTTTGGGAGTGTGTGGGGATGTGCTTATGACTGAGGGTAAGGGTCCGTCTGTGCCCACCAGCCATATGTGTGATGTGCCTGCTGCTGGCTTAGATGTCAAGGAGCCCATGAGAAAACCTGACCTGGGGTGGTGGGCACCAGGTGGGTGCCACGCTCGTTTGGCAAATGAGGGACCAGAAGGCAGATATCTTCCCAGAGCCCCATTGGGCCTGGGCAGGGGTCAGAGCCTCAGAGCCAGGCTTGGACAGGGCCACTGGCAGGACCCAGAACACACAGTCTGGGCAGGAGATGTGGTGGGCTGGCAGAGCCCCTTGTCCTGGCACCGGAGGACATGTGCCCCATTTTCCTAAAGACCCTTCTGGGTCTCTACTTAGTCTTGGCTGTGTCTGGCCTGGCTGGATTTTAACCCTTTCCCAGGCCTGGAAGGTGACCCTGGGGAATCTAGTAGTCCCAAGATACTTGTCAGTGTGTATGGGGGTCTCTCTCTGCCTACCCTGCTATGTAAATAGATATTTGTCTGATTGATATGTATGGTGCCCCAAGTGTGAGTCCCAGAGACAGGAACAAATTCATTACTGCAGGCTAGGGACACCATCTTCTGAGGTCTTTTCCTTGCAGTTTTGATTGCCAGTGTCTTACGTTTTATAAATGTTGAAAATCTTTGTAGTCAAAAGTCTTTATTGCTTTGAGGCAAACTTAAGAAATTCCAGGGCTCCCCATTCCCCTACATTTTCAAAATTCAATTTGCCTCTCTGAGGGGAAAATGTCGTCTTAGGAGCTCATGGTATGTGCAGGCGAACTTTGGAGGCACATTTAAAAAACGGTGTCTCTAATGGAAGAAGAATTTCATTGAAAGGGACGCAGAGCCGGCTGGAAGCGCCTGCTCCCAACGCGGCAAGCTCACCGAGTGAACTTTGGACGTCTTCTTTTAGACAAACAAAACCTGGAAGGAAACAAAAAAGACCCACATTCTTTTTCTTTTTTGTCCTGAAAAATGGAAAAGAACACACATGCACACGTACACACACACACACACACACATACCCCTTCTGGATTTGCTGGAAACGTGGCCTTCCCCTTCCCCCGTCAAGGCCAGGCCCTCCCTAGATCCCCCACCCCCAAATAAAATACGCCTGGGGAGCTGTGGAATGAGTCACTCCCTGGCAGAGAGCCCCACGGGCAAACATTTGGGAAGGTTCTTGCCTAACTTCCCAGAAGAAAAGGCCCAGGATTTGAAATGGTCCCTGTGGTTTGTCAGCCTCTGCTGTCCCGTCTGCTTCAGAAATGACTCAAAAGTAGTTTCTATCTTTACAAAATGAAGTCTCACCATCCCAGGTTGGTCTTGGTTTAGGGCCTTTCAGGGTTCAAGAAACAGCTCCTGGCTTTGCCAGATGGGCATTTCTGGTGGGTTTGAGAGGAGCAGGGAGAGGGGACGGGAACTCACCTTTATGGAGTGCCCCCTGTGTGCTGGGAACCGTTTTAGATGCTGTTATTAATCCTCCATAGTAGTTCTATGTTGCAGAAAATTTCTTGTGGTTTTATGCATGGGGAAACTGAGCCCTGGAGAGCTGCAACCCGTGTCTGGGGACAGCTGAAAGGAGGTGGGGGCAGACTGTCAAGCCACTCCCTGACTCTGCAGGCCATCCCCCTTCCATTGCACCAGGGATGTGACATTTTACCTCCTAAGGAACACAAACTCGGTGCCGAGTGCGTTTATACATAACCCCTCATGTCATTCTTGTCGCAAAGTGCGGTCATTATCTCATTTTACAGATGAGAAAACTGAGGCTCAGAAAGATGAAATGACTCGCGTGATTTTGTGAAAGTAGCATTAATGGCCGTCATTGACTGAGGGCATTTTCGGTGCCAGGCACCACATTAAGAACTTAAGTACCTTATTTTATTCAATCCATTCACCAACACTATGGGCACTATCGTGGTACCCATTTTACAGATGAGGAGACTGGTACAACGAATTAAATAATGTGCCAAAGATCATGTGCTAATAATATGCAGTAGATTTGAATCCAGGCTTTTCTGAGCATAGTCCTTGTTCTAGTTACTGTATGGTTGCTACATACTGTGTGTCTGACCTGGTGCTAAGGTCCGGTATCACCACCCTGACTTGACAGAGGGGAAGTTTGAAGAGTCAAGGAGATTAAGGAACTTGGGCTGGGTCATAAGCTGGTAAATGGCAAAGTCAGGATTCAATCCCACAACTCTGGACTTGAAAGTGGAGATTCTTAACCTCAAACCCAGTCTGGCTGCCTTTGTTGAGCTTTACGCCTCTTGCATGCTGATAACCCAAGTGGGTTGAGGCACACCAGGTTCCTGAAGGGCTAGGCTGCCGTGTCTCAGCTCCAGCCGTCTGGGATAGGTCTTCCTGAAGACACCACTGTCCTTTCTTGTCCCTTTGCCCCTCTGGTGCACATGAGCAATGCCCAGGCCCAGAGCCATCAGATAGAAAATGCTCCAGTTCACATTTCTCTTTCCTCCCCAAGTGTCAAGGATCGGTTTCATAAGGGAAGTGTCAAAACAATTGTCAAAATGAGAATAATATTCCCTTTCTCTCCTCTGGTCAGACCTAGCAAGGATGTTGGAGGGTGGAGAGTGGAGGACTCTGGTGAATCATCCAAGATTAAATGCAGGTTGGCACTGCCAGGCTTGTGTGAGGAAGCAGCAGGCTGGGGCACTGCTCCCAGGAAGAGCCCAGCATCCTGACCCCTGATGATGGAGATTACCTCCAAAGAGCCTGATGCTCACATCTGAATATCTGATGACGTGATCATTTACACAGGTGTCTTGTCACTTGTCATTTCAGTCCCCGTGCCTGTCTCTTTTCCTTGTTCGTTTCCATTTGTCTCATGGTTGATACTACATTGTACTTGAAAGGAAAGTGTGTGCTTGCATATGAAGACCTGTGTGGTGTGGGTTGTATTGTGCCTCTGCAAGTTTCCTTCGGTGATGAAAGGAAAAGGTATTTCTCTCCCTTCCAAGTATGTTCTGCGAATTGATGAACATTTGCAAATTGCTTTGAGATGCGTTAATTTAAGGTGTGAAATAATAGATCTTGTGCGAAGGCTCAGGCACATTTCTGGCATTGATGGATTTCTCTCCCGTCTGGCCTGTGATTTGGGGAGGTAAAAATAGTTCTTGTTTCCACATTTTTATTTTTTTTTTTTTTTTTTTGCCAACGTCATTCTTAGGAAGCAGTGTGCACATGCCATATAGAACTTTTTGGTTTCACCTTTGGTGGTGGCGGGAACGCAGAGCTCTGGGAAGCAAGGGTGTTCCTGGGGTGAGGGGAGCCTTCTGGGGTGGTCTGGGCACCACCCCCAGGTTTCTATGAGGTTGTTTTGAAACTAGCAGACAGTAGATGGCTGGGCTTGGCTGCAAAGCAGGGCAGACTCTTGGGGACTTCAGTGGCTCCTTGGTATGTAGCCATCTCCTCATTTCTGACTCTTGGGTAGTGGCAAGATAGCTTCTTGGGAAATTTTTAGTTTAAAAAGAAAAAATCAGGCCAGTGACTTCACTCATTCCTGTCCAAGTTGGGTGACGTACAGACAGTCCTGTCTTTTGGCCAAACATGAATTACCCAACGGCCTTCTCAGACTCGTCTTCCAGACAGGAGCCAACGTTGGTGTAGATCAGTCGGTGGTGTAATTTCCTGTGACGTCAAATCTGGGAACTTGAACTTGGAGTGTGATCTAGCATTTTGACATCTGTCCCTTCAACAGGACTTGCTTGTGTGGAAACAGAGCCCCATACACAGGCCGTGGGTTTGCTCCAAGCTGTACCGTTGTCTCCAGTTCTGGATTTTTCCACAGATGATTTCTCAGGTGGTCTGGTTGCAAAGGCACTGGGGCTTCCAGCCAGGCCTTCTTGGCATCTGCTGGCAGAATCACAGCACCCCCCTATGTGCTCTGTCTGAGGGGGTGGATGAGGGGAGGCCATTGGAGCTGAAAGGTGGCTCAGCCAGATCTGAAAAGCATTCAGTTCCAATGGCCTCGATCCACATGGAGCCATTCTTTCTTTCTTTTAGACATCTGCATGATGGTGACCTCATAGAAAAGAAAAAAGGAGCTTTATGTAGGAATTCCATAGAGTGTGAAGGAATTCCAACAAGGGGAGGGGGAGGGAAGTCGCCACTAGCAGCCTGCAGTGCCTGCATTTTACCCGGAGTTGTTTAACTCTCGCATTTCAAAATTAGACAGTACTTGACCCTAAGGAACAGAAATCCATTTAGGGGACGAACCTTCTGTCCCCATGTCCTGGTCGAGGCTGCTGGGTTTAGCTCCTTGGACACGTTCTTACTGTCGGTGAAGGGCAGAGTTGGGATTTGCCCACTGCCCTGTTCTCCAACGCCTGCCCTCTCTTATTTCACGTTGCCCACAAAGTCTTTGAAACTGCGAATTGTTAGAAA